AACCTTTTTTGTGCCATCGCGTGCAGTGCTTTTAACGAATGTGAAAAGAGAAACTCTGAAATTGCATTGGAGCAATGGGGGATATTGACAAATAAGTATAGTTTTGAGTAGACACAGAAAAATCAAATATCATATTATGTAAGGAAATCATACCTACAGTCTTTGCATCAGATATAAACGAGAATCGGCCGAGGTGCTGTAGTGGTAAACGCCGCGCTATTCCATTCATGGTCCAAGGATCGAATCCCTTATCCAATCTCGTCTTCACGAGCGAAGCCTTCCATCCCTAAAGGGTTGCTCAATTGGCTCAGATGCGCCTGGTTGGATTATCGCAGACATAATCATTGTCTGGCCCGCGGAGGTCACCGTATAGACCACAGACCCATTCAAAGTTCCTTAGTTTCCGAATGCAAGTCGAATGCGTGGCGTTTTCCAAGGAAAATCACAATTGATTAACGATTAAAGGCTTGAGATTTTGTGAGAACTTGAATCAAGATCAGAATAGCATAGAGAGGTACAGAAGGTGCAAACAAATCGTGTGAGGTTGGCATGCTGATCGGAAAGTAGGTGTCACGTTGGAAACAGCTGCGAACGGGTGCGCTTCGTTGCGCGCGTCCGTTGAAACTAGGTCACGCCGCAGCCGTCGCATGCGGCAGGTAAGCCCGCGATACTTGTGTACACTTGGGGATGCCGCAGTTGTCAGCGGGACATACGATTTGCACTTGGTCCCCGCCAGTCAGCTCAAGGAGAAGATAACATGGACAAATGCAAATCATTCGCTCCAGTGACACTTGGTGGTACTGTTCTGTCATCTCAAGACCTCAGTGGGGTGCACCGCGCGCGAAGTGAGCGGGGTGACCTACTTTCGACGGACGCGCGCAAAGGACGTTCTCCGCGACAAACAGATATCTCCTTACGTGTATAGTGTCATTTGTTGGAGGTGCCTCCAAACTCTTATGAAAACGACACGAAATTGAGAACCGGGACTACCAGGAGTTCTTTAACTCTGTCGAAAGGTTCCGTCTTGAGCATTATCCTAAATGTGACCCAGGAAATAATCTCCATCCCTACTTTGCGGGCTGATAAATATAATTTGAGCATTTAGAGCAGCATAATTACCGGTGAAAACAGTATTCATTCAAGAACGAAACACTACAAGTAATTTACGCTAAAGGAACGGTTTCATCTAAATCCATCCACCCGATTTCACACATTGTCGCCAATGTTGTACAAAATCGCTTATTCCATTTCTAAGGGATTTCAAGCATTTGCACTCCGACAACTCGAAAAAGGAGTTTTCAGTTTTTAAGCGTTCTATTCCACAAAATTGATCATAACGCTTGATAAAATGAGTCTTAAAAGGTTCACGGTTCGGGAAGAGAGGTAGGTAAGAGAGGAGGAATTCAACAGGAATTTGACTAACCTCTGGAAGACGATAGGTGAAACATGCGGTAATGTGGGAGCAGTGCAACACGGCAATTCACCAGTACTGTCTGCATTCACACGAATTTCGTGTTTTTTCATGTTTTTTTTTTAGATTTAATCGCAATAAGACTGTGCGGTGGTGGTTCGACTAGTAAGAAAAATCTGGTGATGGAAGAAACTCTGAATAGATCTTCATCTGCAATCATTGCTCTCTGATATGTGGATCTGGTTTGAAATTTCGGAAAAAGCTCATTCGTTCCTGTGACGAGGCAGGGTGATTAATGGATCGTTCTTGCTCGAGCATTCCCTTCGTTCAAAGGTTTCTTGAGGAAATTTGACCATCGGGATGGCTGTCGTCCTGGCGATTGTCATGTGGTATCTACAACCATCACACGATCCTCACGGGAAGGATCGATAGCGAGACTCCCTAGAAGCTTGCAGTTTCTGGGCTGTTCAGTCTGTCAGCTTCTGTTGCTCTTTGAGATGTGCGGTACGAATTTATCAAGGCTTACGACCATCTCGAACTGCATGAGGTGATCAGAAATAGCTGTGTTGGAAATAGCGAGGTCCTTGACGATTCTTCTAAGAAGCGATATTTTTCAACTGTTCAACAAAGCATCGTGATCAACTGATGATGGTCGACTGGCTCTTTGTTTCCCAGCGAGCCACTTCAATTCTGAAACCTTTGAAACAAGCGACCAACTTTTGCTTATCACGCAAGCGAAAACCTAATGTGGGCACCCGGTTTTCCACGATATTCGGCTGTGAGTCCTGGCGCGAACGCCTGCACGCGGTGACAGCCAAATAAGCGCCCAATCTGGGTAGTTCTTGCTGCAAATTTTTTTTGGTGCCTCGCACAAATGGTGATCTTGGAGCGGGTGTGTTTGAGTAACATTATGTCGTGTAGCTAAACACGTTGTCGTAATGTTCTGCACCCATTGCATTTCAATGCACCACAAGATCACCGGGTGTGTGGACGAACGTGCGTCCGGTAACGCGCGCGGCAACATGCGCGGCGGATGTCGCGACGATTTTTATGACTCCGACGCCAGTTTTTGGGGCTTAAACTCTAAGTAAAGTGGTTTATTAGGGTCAGATGATCCTTCTAATCTATTCTTTTTCGCATTTCGGGCCCAGTGATAGGTGCTTAATTCGTTCAAATAATTACGGACTTCACCGCGCAATTTGCCACGCGCATCCTCGGACGCACATTCGTCCCGTCCCCCCAAGATCACCCCATCCTCTGGTTCTGGTTCTCTCACTGAATATTCGTTCCTGTGTGCCTCATCTCAATGAATTTAATGTTTGCGATTGCCTTGGGAAGAGAAGAGCAATTAGGCGCTCACCCAGTATATTTACAAACCCAACTTGACATACGGAAAAGTTCGAAATCGTAAGAAGCATGCGTGGAAGCAGCAAAAACATTCTTCTTAGCTTAATATGGTACTTTTCTCTGACCGTTGCTCGCCACTGTTTTTCTTTCTGTCCTTGTCCCATGAACTCCCCACTGTTTCTCTTTCTATTCTTGGCTATTGGACTGTTTGAAAAGTCGAAGTAGAATTTGTCACGAGCCGTGGCCAAATTAGGTCGCTTGATTGCTTCAGCTTATTCAAAGGGTCGTGACATGAGTAACCAATCCTTACCACTTCCTTTCAGCGCCAGGCCGATCGCATCGCCTACCGGCAATCCGCAGGTAAGGGTGGAGTTTCGGTAATCGCGACGAGGTTTGCCTGCTGTAGTTATTTCATGATGGGAAAACTATTCACAGGAACTTTCAAAGCGCTCAATTTCTTTATTATTGACAGTGCTTCACTTCCACAACCATTCAGCAATTCCTTCAGTAATGACATGCCTGAGAGATTGAGGAGGTGTAGTGTGTACGCTGCTATTCTGACACAAAAGTGCATTGGACTGTGAGTATGTTCTTTACGGCATAACAACTACATTTTCTTCATATCAGCCTTGGATACACATTAGTCCATTCATCTTTATTCATTTGAAATAAATTACTAGTGATAAGACTGTAAGAGAAATCAGTAACCAGCAGGTTCGACAAGTGGTGCTTCGCTGGCGATGTATCCTTGGTCAACGGGCACTGGCGTTTCTTCTCCGTAGGGATCAACTTCTGGAGTAGGTGGAGCCCCATAGGAGTCACCGCCACCTGGAAGTGGTGGTGGAGTTACAAGTTCATCTCCATATTGATTAGCGCCTCCTCCGGATCCAGGTAGGCTATTATCGGGCGAAGCGGGACGACCACCTGGGCCTCCATAAGGTTGGTATGGTGGTGGAGTGATGCTCTCGTCTACATACTGATTAGCTCCTCCCCCGGATCCAGATTGGCTATTACCGGGCGGTGGAGGTTGACCACCTTGCCCTCCATAAGGTGGGTATGGTGGCGGAGTAATGCTCTCGTCTACATATTCAGCTCTTTTCCTTCTGTAACCGGCTGGTTCTACTTGGGGTGCGTCACTGATTAGGTATCCTTGGTCAACAGGTGCTGGTGTTTCCTCACCGTATGAACCACCACCTGGTGGTGGAGGAGGCCCGTATGAGTCGCCTCCTGGTGGTGGAGGAGTAACACTCTCGTCCCCATATTCGTTATTTCTCTTCTTCCTGTAACCGGCTGGTTCTACTTGAGGTGCATCGCTGATAAGGTATCCTTGGTCGACAGGTGCTGGTGTCTCTTCCCCGTAAGAGCCACCACTTGGTGGTGGAGGAGGCCCGTATGAATCGCCTCCTGGTGGTGGAGGAGTGATAATCTCGTCTCCATATTCATTGGCTCTCTTCTTTCTGTACCCGGCTGGTTCTACGTTAGCAGCATCGTTGCCTCCATATCCTTGATCTGCAGGCGCAGGTGTTTGTTCTGCTTGAGGAGCATAGTATCCGTCGCCGGGTGGTGGAGTAACCGCTTCATCTCCATACTCATTTGCTCGTTTTACCCTGTATCCAGATGGTACAACTCTAATATTGCCTGAATAACCGCTTTGGGAGATTTTTTGACTTTTCTCTTCTCCACCGTAGGACTTGGATTTCGTCTTGCCGTACTTTGGCACATATGGTTCATCCACATAGTTTCCTTTTGGAGTAACAGGTTCATCCACATACGGTTTAACAGTGGGCACCTCTTCAGTTGGAGTACTTTCTCCAAGTTCAGTTGTCGTACTTTCGAGTGTTGTACTTTCTACGGTGCTTTCCAAGGTAGTCTCTGCGGTAGTTAGCTCTGTTGTTGAAGGGACAGTAGTTTCTTCGACTGTTGTTTCGACAATTGTAGTCTCCTGTACTGTAGTTTCTGCAACAGTAGTTTGTTCAACTGTTTCGGTGACTTCTCCGATTGTTGTTTCGACAACGGTAACTTCGCCAATTGTTGTGCCCACTACAGTTGTCACTTCAACTGTGGTCTCTTCGCCAGGAGTGGTTACTTCTCCGATTTCTTCCGTTACAGCATCGGCTTGTCGCTTATCGCGTACTGAAAAACAATAGATAGTTAGCGGTAGTGAACGTTGAAATCTGCTTATCCCAGTGAAATAGCAGTTTGAGAGGTCCTTTTAGTAATCGCGTTACGACCACTTTTCATGCTAGTGCTATATAAGGGGCATATGAGGGGACAGTGGAGAGGGTACAGCAAAGGAACGCGCTTTTAAAGCTTCAACAAAAATAGCATCTTAACCATGGATAAGCGTTGTTTAGTGCTCTAAGAAAAAGAATTCTTGTAGGAAGCCTAAAAGAACCTACCTAAAAGAACCTGAATGCCTTTCTCACAAGTTATTTTACTCCCCATTTCAGCAGTGGAAGGCGAACAATCAAGGCTAACCGTTTCCGCTGAGCTCTCCGGTTTCATAGAATACATAAAAATGGGCCTGCCGTGAGGTTGGGATTAGTTTCGAGTAATATCTTTTTGATTAATAGAAGAAGTGAGAAAGAAAAAACTTCGATTTGGGGAAGACTTGGTCCCTTTCCTGGTTCCAGATATACGGATATTGTTAGTTGTTAGGGAAACCAAAGGGTACTCGCCTAACAACTAACAATAACCATATATCCCATATCCTTTATTCCAACAAAGTCAGCTATCGGAATGGATGGGACATTCCGCTTTCAGAAGAAGCATTATCCATGGAAGAGCTTGAATGTTCTGCTTTACGGATAAGGTAAGGACCTGAGCTTATCACTGAAGGTATCTTTGGCGGATCGGTCGAGAAATACTGGGCTAGCTCTGCAAATGAATTTATGTGCCTTTGGAGAAACTCTTCATCGAAGGCCGTGATTTCTGAAGGGCACAATACCTTGAGGTCGCCACAGTTCAGAAAGGATTGATAGAACCCCTGTCGCGAACTTGCACATAATTACGGTAGGATGTAATTAAATTGGATTTTTGAAGGTAAACAAGCACGGCACATTAGAAAATATCAGCGAATGCGCAGTGAAATCAACCCCTAGCTCTCACCCGTATTTCCAGTGCTCTGAAGGGTTTTCAGGTCGCCGATGGTTTTTACGATTCTCTTACTGTGAGCACCGGCGATCCTACTTTTGATCCATGTTGGTCCCCTCTTCCGACATCCTACCATTACTGAGCATGCAGTCTAGGTTATCTCGAAAGTTCCGAATTCATATTGAACGTAAGCTAGCACCCGTAATTCCTTGTACAACCTTACTATACCATCCACTTCTTTGTAATCGTTGCTATAACATCACAGAGTGGTAAAAGGTGAAAAGAAGATACCGATTATCAATAGAGAGGGATGGAAAGAGAAAGAAAGAGAGAGTGAAATGATCCAGTGACAAGCTTCTCGTACAGATAGCCCAGATTCATAAAGCATTCTTGAGCAATAAAATAGCTACGAACGAAGCACGCCTGGCACTCTCCATCGTCGTTTATAGTCCAAGGTTTTTGTAAAGCGCTAAGCTAAAATCACCGAAGTCGTTTCAGGATTCGGAATCTTGTGGTCGGCTATGATATGGTGGAGGTATCGGAATAGCAGCGCTTCCCTCTTGGTAAAACTCGTAGTCCCGGTAAATTAAGAGGAGTAGTTTAAATCAAACTGATTGAGCTGATTGAAAATCTTCTAATTATCCAAATTAAAGAAGAATAACCTACCGTATAAGGACTGCGTTAAGAGTACGCATAAGGACAGAATGGTCCACTGCAAATAACGCATAGTGGCCTGCTGCTGCTCGAAAAGCAATAAATCCCAGGACAGCCCGATATGTTGTACAAAGGACTTTTATATGGGATATCAGTAAGCGCTGATTTCTTACGGAACTGGTATGCTGATCGCGCATAAGACAATACAATACAAGCAACGTGACTACTGGTTTAGTTCGCATAGTCCCTGAAATGATCACCGGCTACGCGGAAGATCTAGTACTTTGATGATTGATAGTATTAGTAATTGCCGATGTGGACATGATAGTGTGACCTCACCATTTGTTTCAGCGTTATACAGGAGGATTGTTAATGATCCTTAGTGCCAAGGTAAATTTCGATGAATGAACCGCAACGTTTCTTCAAAGAGAAGCGCAAAAGACGCCTCCTTCGTTCATTACTAACCAGCGTAGTAGTGGCCAAAATAGCACAATATTTCACCGCATTCCTGAGGAAACTCAAAGT